GAGTCCATTTCTATTTATTTTTATCCTTTCAAACCTCTTTGCCTGCTCGAGTGATACTGTAACCTGTATTAATTAGTTTTCACAGTTCATTCACAATCACCTTTTCAACATCAGCACAGTATGGATTGACTTTCCAAGAATTCCCAAAGTCAACTGGATCTACTTCAAGATGTTCATTGCTGCTGGTCAAATCATTGTTTTGGATTCCATCAAAATTTCCACACAGACCACACACTTGATCCTTGCAGGGAAAGAAACACAAAATACATAAATCTTACATCTGTAGACTGGTTTAGGTTTTTGTTACCAAGTCTTTTTAGCCCCATGCTTTAACGGCATGAGGCTTAAAAACTGAATTATCCCTGGCCTTGCCAAGTTCACTAGAATAGACATAGCCTCTCACAGAGACCGTTTCGCTCCTACTCCCATTCTGCTTAGCTGCAAGTAGGACCATACTATCTCCAAGGCCTTCAGGAAGCAAGACGACAACTCTGATCAGTGGTGTCTGTTGGCTATTTGGAGTATGTCCCTACAATCCCATTTTATTGCTGGACATGACTGTCCTATCACCATCACTAGTAAATCTGGCTCCTTGTCCTGCTCTTCTTGAATACAGAAGAAATCACTCAAGGCATAGTTATTCTGAGGCATCACAGTATTCATCCTTTCTGTCATAGCTCATCTCCAGCGACCCAGAATTTACCCCTTACAGTTGAACTACCGGGAAAGTAAGCAACCCTTATGGTATTACAAAAAAAAATAAAAATCCTTCCTTTTCAAGCAAGCACCTAATACTCCATGGAAATCTATCAGCATGTCTGCATAAAAATAAATGCTATTCCCAGAGACAGGATAAATGCATTCTTTAGTGAGAATAAGAAGTAAAGCAAAAAAATACTTACTTTGAAATTGCCTTTTAAGATAACCGAGACTCCCATGGCCAGATCCCAGGTCACACTGATGCTTTTGCCCAGTAAAAGGATGTAATAATGGCCAGATTTCATGACTTCGAAATCATCGTCATTTTTAGGAGGTACCTTGATGTTTACCTGAACAAGAAAAGCACATTGTACTATCAACCATGTGCCTAATTGCTATTTCACACAGGTCACTTTCCCAGTGGGACAGGTGCTCATAGGTTAACAGCTATTTTCAAACATGTTCTCAGAGAACAGATAGCTCCTGTACATTATACAGATGCTCTGGAGCACTTGCAAAACTGTAAGCAAGGTATGGGACTGGTTACAGGCTTGTCTCTACACTGAAAAGTCACTGTGGATAAATTATTGCCTTAGAAACCACACTTCCGAATAGCAAATTGGGATACAAGTACAGTATTTGAATCTCATCACATTTCCATAATTTTGAACGTGGCAATGTCCCTTGTGCTCCCGGGGTATAACATACACTCACCACAAATGCTGACGTGCAAAGCAATGACTGCTAAACAGAAGGAGGGCTGATAAAGAGGACAGGGTATACCCAATTAACGATCAGTTTCCTATTCGGTCAATGGTTCACTGAATAATTACATTGTATTTTTATTTCATCTTTTTAGGAAACTAACAATTCTGAGCTCCTGAGGCAGGTAGCTACAAAAGGGCTGGCAAAACTTAAGTGTAATGTGAACTGAAAGAACCACACACATCAGTGGCTTCTGAAGGACCAAAGCCTGATTCAGAAGTCAGGAAGGACTTTCTTCCCAACCAGCTACACCAACAGGAAAAATCATGAGAGATTCCTTTCAATGTCTCTTCATTTTTCCATCACTTTCACTTCCCCTGTGTGCCTCTCTCTCTTTCCTTCTGGCTGCAAATTCACCGCCTCCAGCTACTAAGAACTTAAGAGATTAATTTCAAATGCTTTCTTTCACACCATAATCACCTTTCAATGGGAACTCTAATAGGATTATTAACCACATTTGGAGAGAAAGGTCTGGCATGGCTGTTACTTTAAGCACCATTAATGCATTAACTGAAAACTGCTTAATTGTGGAAGAGGCAGATGAACACTTTCAATCAGTACAAACAGTGATTAAAGCAAGGGAGAAAGAGGAGCCCACAAACCATTCACCCACTGCCTAGTTTGAGGGCAAAATATTTCCTTATCCCACCATTCTTTCTTGCTCATTTCAGTGAAAGCTCAGTGCCGTAATTCAATTATCTTAATCTCTGGGTTATTATCAGAAACCTTTATCCTCAGAGAAGACCGTTCACATCCTCCAAGGATCTCCTAACAAGAGCCTTCAATGTCCTTAGGGAAGGATCTGTTAAAAGATATTTAAGGAACCGGGAGCTTTTTTTATCTTCTATGCCCAAGGTATTACTATACAGTCTAGTCACACTTGGTCACTTAATTTCTAAATATAGTAGTCCCCATCTTTCCAAACTTAGGCAAAAAACAGAGGAGGACAAAGCTGAGCTGCGAGGTTGACCTAAATTACAGAATTTCTGTTTATGGAGGCTTTTTGCCCAACAATGAAGTCATAAACTTTTGACCTTGCAAACTGGCAGATTTATTTGTTTCAGAAAAGCAAAAACGATTTCACAATAATTTCAGTTTTTAATGTGAGCCAGACCTGTAACATGCCGATACTTCAATTAAGCGCCCATTTACTTAAAACTAGAAGTTGCTCTCAAAACAATATCATCTTAAACCAATGCTGCTGGAAACATTTTAATGGTAAAAAAAGATTGGATTCTCCTGCTTGCTTCTAAGGATTCTTGGGGAAAAAAGAATGTAGGAAGTCATCACTGGGTGAGAATTTGCCTAACAGTCTTCATATCAGTTGTTTTTCCTCAATCTCTCCTTTGGTTGCTGTTATTTCTAAGAAAACCTGCTCCAGATATTATTACACTGAGCCTTAAACTCTCTAGAAAGACAACAAAAACTTCAGTCAGGGTCATGGGACAGTCTTGTGATACAGACCTAGCTCTTGCAAGGACATACTCTCTCAGAAACCAAACACCTCCTGTTGCTGGAGTTGCTGGATGCCTATATCACCTCCTGTCTTCTCTGGCCCTTCTTTAGGTGTCCAAACGGAATCACAGCTTTTCTGAAAATCTGTCACCTAAAGAAGCTTTCAGACAAAGCCTGGCTCTATGGAATGATCCCTGCACTACTATTCACCCTCACCCAGGTAGGAGATTCCTTATCAGTAGAAATACAAAATTGGTTGAGCAACACATATGTCCTATGTTCATTCCTTCAGCAACCAAAAGCCTACATGGATCATATGCTGTCAAGATGCACTGCACAGGCACTATTAATACTGGTCATGTTTTACGTGTTCCTGTCAAGCATCAGTGGCACGCAGCAATTTGCAGGCAATTCGCACCAAAAACAAGGCAAATGTAGAGTGGTTTCACATTTCACTGGGAACATTTTTTGCAAATCTCTGGTCCAGATGCCAGTTCAGAGTCCAGTACTTCTCAAAACTGAGCAATTTAAACCCTATAATCCACTGTAGCTCTGTAATGTTTGAACACACAGACGGTCTTAATTGTTCCAGTGCTCAAGGCAAAGCGCTGAACTCTGCCATTTGGAAAGCTTGTTTCCTGCCATGGAGGGATGTGGGAGGTGGAAGTGATTCTTGGCCAATTCTTCAGCGTTTCTTGGTAGGAAAGTGGGGGAAAAAAGAACCCATTTGGAAAGCTTGTTTCCTGCCATGGAGGGATGTGGGAGGTGGAAGTGATTCTTGGCCAATTCTTGGTAGGAAAGGGGGGGGAAAAAGAACAATCCAATCATCTGGATTTTCCACCTGACAATTCAAAAGGGGAAAGGATAGTTGATATTTGCTTCTGCAGCATCAACTTGTTTGAGCCATGACTTTTTTTTTTCCTGTGTGCTCAGTACTTCAGATGGCTAAATTAGGTCCGAAGTTTTACTAGTCATAGGACAGTCGCTTCTTAGCTCTTCCTTGCACTTAATGTAGCTTGAAATAGACTTAGACCTCCCATGTTTAGAAAGGGCAGCCCTCATACGAGCTTGCATTGAACAGCATTCTTATCAGAGATAAATTTGTTGGCATCAAGCAGAAATACCAAAATGGCATTATACCTTTGGGAGCAAAATGGATAATTATAATCTTGCTAATCTGTTCATTTTATGATCAAGAACCACTAAGCATGAGGTCATCCATGCCTCATCTTACTAAACAACCTGAAATTCTTTTCCTCAAAAAAGGGAAAGAAAGAGAGCGTACTTACATTTCCATTAAACAACTCTATTTCCCCACTTTCATACAGAATGGTAACCCTTTTGGTGCACTTTTCTCCAGTGAAGCCACAGCCTTCATTTGAAATAAGTATCCGGAATGTTCCAGAGTCATCCTTGCAGAAATCCTATTGGATGAAAATAAATGAATGTGTCATTAACGTGGAACATTTGAAAAACACATACAGATCTATGGAGAAAAAGGAAGCCTCAAACAATACCCTGTGTAATCTGTGGCCAGTAGGATATATGTTGGCATGCCAACTGTGCCCATATTAATTTATTTTCTGCTTAGTGTTGACATTCATGTGGTCCACTCCTTAAAGAATGAAGCACACTCTGCCAGTGACACACACACGTGCATATTTTGCAGGGTATTTTTTGGCAGGGAGCACCCATGCTATTACAGTGTCTGCAATATTTTAATGATGTACAATGGGCAGATTGTACATCTTAATTACACAGATATTAATTGATTTAACAGTGAAAACAAGACTCTGCAGCTTTAACGATAAAATAAGAATATAAACCTAGAAGGTTAGATTAGGAAGAAGGGTTAGAAAGAGACTTCTTGCACAGTCTTGAGCCCATGTTTTCCCAAGTGTACATGAATAATAATTACAATAACGTCAACCTTTTTCTTGGGGAGCAATTATGTAGTTTAATGTATTGATTTAAGGCAAATATTTCTGAGATGCATGGAGAGTTAGTACTACATCTATATGATGACTCATGACTCTGAGACCTTTTAGTTTTTTGGGTTTGTTGGTTTGGTTTTTTTCCAGTACACACTTTTTAAGAAAAAGATCCTGTCTATAGTTGCCTCTATGCGTCATCTGAGGAAAACAGATCTCATTTTCATTTTAAGTAGGTTCGTAGTACTGTATCCTACTACTGCCCATAAGACCTTTACACAGAGCTCTCACTAGTGTGAGAGCAAACATTCTTCTAAGGTAATCCAGCTGGCACCAAAGCAGGAGCATATTTCAAAGATCTAGCCAGAGATGGCTTGATCACACTTTCCTGCCCAAGGAGAACTGCAAGGAAGAATGTGCTTCATGAAAAGGGTCTGTGGGGAAAATCGTAGCCCACCCAAGAAACACGTCACTTTGTAACTGCAGAAGACTTGCTATCAATTAGCAGCAGATCTATCTAGCGTTAGACCAAATTTTCAAACAAATCCTTCTTCTTTTGCACACGCATTTTTAAATACACAATGATTTGCATCCGTAGATGAGCCTTAATCTTATTTAACTCTAAATTCCTGGTTGCTGTTGATGTTAGTGTGCTATGCCTTTATCCACCTCTCCTCTTTGCTGCAAAGGAAATTGGTATCATCAGTGTACTCCAAACAGGCTGGTGCACAGAACAGGACAGTGACTTGGCCGAAGTGAATGAGCAGAGCCTGTCCTCTGGACACGTTTAGGGAAGGTTCACTGAGCACTCCTTGTCTCACTCCGTCAGACAGCAAACCATCACTACAGGATAAACAGGCTAGCGGAGAACGAGGAAAGATTGATTTACACATATCTACAATTCCTTGTTAGAGATGAGATTCAGACGGCTCCTCTCTGTACCATGCTGCTATCATATGCTTTATGACTGCCAGTTAGACACGTAACAACCTAACTCATTTCTATAGAACACAATGCAATCTTCAAAGTTCTCAAGACATCTTTGAAGTCATTAATAAGCTCTGCTCTCCTCTACCATACATCTGGTTTAGTAATTAAGAATACTTTACTGTGATTTATCCAAACATTGGACTTCTCTCCTGGTGTAAAACGCCTTATATGTTTGGCAGCTTTGGCATTTGACATGTTCTTACCTGAACTAATACATATTCACAGTTTCCTGGAAACTTATATTTCAGTCCGTCAAATGTCAAATAATGAGCTGTTCCAATAACAGTGCAGATGCCATCACACAGATTTTTGGTGCACTCCCACTTTCGACCACGGCACACACTGTAACAGAGGAAACGAGTCAGTGACAGTTCTGGTAATTTCCAATGTACATAATAAGCAAGAGAATGCAAGGTGCTTTAGGCAAAGCAAAAGAGCAAAAGTTTCTGCCTCCAGAAGCTCATGATCTGGAGACTTTCCAAGAGACACACAAGTGGTGGTAAGCTACTATTTTGCCTTTTTCCTGGGCCTGGGTCAAGGAGTAACCAACTGCAGACCAAGCAGGAGCATTGTTCCCCTCTGTGCCTTAACCCAGGCATTTATCTGCAGCTCCGTGAGGAACCCCTGTAGTTGTCTGTGCTGGGGTGCGTCCTCAGGTATCTCCCCAGCAGATCCTCTCTGCATTCAGCCGTGAGAAGGTACTCGTAAAGGGCTCCATACCTGGGCTGCTGGAATCCTTCTCTAGATGGACTTCCATAACTACATTACACCACTGTGCACCAGATGACACACTCTCTCATTAACATAAATTAGCATATGTTAGCATCAGTGCATAAATCCAAATAGTGCATTAAATGTTGCGTGAATAAAAAAACGTATTTCCCTTTTTCTTACAAGCTGCATGTAGGAGTACGGGGTTTTTGAACTTCCCTCTTACAAAAAGGGGCCTGGAGAGAGCCTGCTAGAATATTTCATAATACTATTAGTATTTTATTTTGGATATGCTGCTCTGAGTAACCTTTTAGAAAAACAGATCGATTACCCTCTAAGGACCATTACAGGTTAAATACGAAGTATGATGTCAGCAACTCTGTTTTTATTTGCAGTACTGTCCATTTTTCCCTCATTAAAAGCCAAAATAGTAGTAAAATTAATATCCAACTGATGCCAAAGGACATGTGCTTACTCTGGTGATCAGCTTCTGGGATCAAGTGACCAGGACCGTAATTCAGTCTGCCCAGTGGCTTTTGTTCAGATTATATACTTAAGTGTAGTACCACCCTTCTCCAAAGAGGTGTCTCTGTTCCTAAATTAAATTCATTCTTCATGACAGTTTATCTGACCTAGCAATTGGAGACACCACATCACGGTCTGACATGAACACCCATGAGGATAGAAATATTTCTTTTTCTGAACATAGGTACACATACACCCTCTGAGGAATGTCCTAGGGTGTGATACTGTCCCCTGTGGTGATTGAACCAGAACATCTGCCCTACAGGAGAATTCAATTTTGGCGACATACAAATAAGACTCCAAGCTAAATCTCGGTTTACACAACAGGAGATGTGACAAGACTCCCGATCATGAAAGGAGATACAGCAGTGGTTCCCTGCCTGTACAGCCTGCAAATGACGTTGTTGAGGACACCTCCTAGATTTCCTCACAAGCACAGAATATGCAAGGGAAAAAAAAAAAAGGGAACATCCTGACATGCAGAGCAAAACAAGATTCTGCCTTGTTTTTTTCAGGGGGAGGGGAATTCTGAAGAGCAGACGCAGGGTTAAGGCCTTGACATCATTATATCCACACCGCTGAGGCAGCTGTACTGCACCGTCATTATCGTACAAAAGTGGCGATGCCACAACAAAAGGGACAGTGTTCTTTTCTTTGTTTCACTTCTTTTGCACTCTTGTTTTTCTTTGTTGTTTTGGTTTTTGGTCTGTTTTATAAAACAAAACAGAACAAAACAAAACCAACACATGGTCACAATCTTTTGAGCGGATATTTAAAATGCAAAGAAAGCCAATTCTCTTATCTTGGTGTAAGTCAATTGGTTTCAGAGTAATTATTCCAGTCTAATAAACAGAAGGAAAAATAGTCTTCACGATGACACCAAACGAACCACATTCAACACCAATCATTATTAAATTTCTGAGAGTTTCCAAGAACATTTGTATGCTTTCACTGCTATGATACCCAATAATCTAAATCTTACATGGTACACTGATAAATAAGGCTCGGGGAGGTAAACATGCTCATGTTAATGAAAGAGGGAAAGTAAGAAATAAAGATAAGAAGAGACTTCACAGCATCCACCCTGTCCTGTTGCCCTTTTCCAGAGGAATCCTGGAGAAACACAAGCCTTGCCACAGAACGAAAGGGTTTCTTTCCCTTGCATGCATGGGCTTTTGATCAGTGAAATAAATGGATTTGCTAACTAGCAAGAGACTGAGCAAACAAAATAAAAAACAAGGTCAGTGAAGCATAAAATCTGCTCACTCTTTTGTTCATTATTAATTTTAGGGAGTTGAAATAGCATCTGACACTATATCTAATAATCTAATAAAATAATAACTTAATAATCTAATTAGCAATATCTTGCTTGAGGTTGGAGAAACATTCGTCTACTAAATGCAGATGGACACCATTACTGCCCCAGGGATTTTCTAATCGAGCTCTATAAGGGCACGGAAAGGGCAATTCTACCCCTGCTTTACAGATGTAAAAACTCAGGGATAAAAAAACCCGAAGTACTTTCCCAAGATCAAATTGTTAACCAAAGAAAAAACAGGTACTGAATCGAGTTCTCTAGTAATGCCTAACCCAAGCGTAAGCATTGTTTAATCCTGGTAACGCTTCACTGCACAATAAATATTGTGCAATACATTTTCTTCAAACAATGAAAGGTCGTTAACATGAAACCTATTCCACCCTCTGCTATTAAATCTCTGCTAATAGGTAGAGCAAGACCAAGATTTTGTGCATGGACAGATTATAAATTATGCGGTGTAGCAAAATTCAGATTAGCAAATTTCGGCTGTGTACTGCTTCATAAATGTTATTCCGAAATTTTCACTAAGCTCTACAATGAATTCCCAATATATAGCATAACAAAAGTTTTGCCACTGGCTTAGACTTGGAGACATTCCGTTGTTCATGAATTAGGGTCTCCCATATGTCAAGTCGAATGTAAACGCCAAATCTGACACCTCTGGCTCATACATTGCGTTTGCAGGTGTTCACATCTGGCTAAGAACAAGTGAGAATGAGAACTCCTGCAACAGCAGTACAAAAAGCAAAAACAAAAGAAAAGGAAGATCTGACCTCCAAAATGCAGACTCTTGACTCTTGTTAATTCTCAAAGCAATAGTAATTTCCTATATCACTTTCTAAATGACATTTGACTTGATATTTGCTGAGAACTATCATGAAACTTTTCAAAGTCACATAATTCAAAAGAGCCCTAGTGACATTTTTGAAGGGACCTTATTTCCAATTTTACTTTCACATTCAAGAATACCTAAAATGAGAGGATGAGCTTTTTATCAATGAGAAGCAGCATGATTTCTAACATTTTCTTGACTCTGACATTGAAGAAAATTCTATTTATTAGAGGAAATGTCACTTCAAATGGCATTGCCAGAAACAAAAGGGCAGTTACAAGAATGAAGCAACATGGCTGTAACTATTTTAAGATTGAAGATTATAAGAATGACTGAAAATAAAAAGACTGTGTATAGTTATTGTGAAGGATCTTGCAAATTTCACAACACCTAGAAGTTTTACACCTTGCTGTTCTTGTTTCAATAAAATTGTCATTGTGTCTGTTTTTCAGCCGAGTCACTTTTATGTAGATGCGACCTAAGCAGCTTATAGTATGTGCATCTATGTAAAAATACAAACTTCTCCTCCACTTTCTGCCTTTCAAACCTACTTTTCCCCAGGTCTAATTATAGTATATGATTCACAATGTAATATGTAGCTGCAAAGGAAAAAAATGAAACAAAACACTGGAAGGTCGATATTTCCATATAAAACTGTAAAACCTTATATCCAAGTCTAAGTTAGACTAGTTAGGAGCAGTCCCACTAGTTTAAAAATACAACGCTTGAAATCACTGTTGGTCAGATATCAAAGCACAAAACAAAAAACCAAACCAAATGACTCTTTAACTGTGCTGATTCTCCGATCCAACTCCACTCAGTCATACAGAAGATAACAGAATTGCTGCTCCTCAGGGTGCCACAGAGCTGGGCAGGGACATTTCAGGTAAAAATGTAGGAGAGATTCTGAAGTCTAAGTTTAAAAAGAACACAGTCTTCACACTGCTGGTGGCTGGATGTCCTACACCTGGGACTCTTGGAGCTCTGCAGGAAAGAGCCACCATTCCCTCCACAAGCACACATGGAGAGCAAAGCACCTCCAATGCAGCAAGTGTGCTGTGCAGGCAGAAGCCAAGAATTGTCCAGCAGGTAAATACCCCATTCTTTATCCAAGGCTGTGCTGAGGGCTTCCCTCCATGCAAATCTCTCAGCCCAGCACTTTCTTTTGAACCTACAAATTCTTTTTCAAGAATCAAACAGGATAGATAGGGATATGTGGGTGAAAGACATGGAGCACTTACTCTTTTCTTGTTAGAAGATATCACCAACTCCCTCTTCTTTTTTTCCTCTCTTTTTTTTTTTTTTTTTAATATATCAATGGACTGAGCACTCATTGAGGTCAACTCTGTTTCTGCCTGATCCTTTAACACTTTCCTGGAGAGCTCCTGTCATATTATAGCTGGCACATCACACCATTTCTGGTGATGCATACTTCTGGCTGAAAAGGCCTGATCTGAAGGGCCCCGAACAGTAAGAAAAGGGAAGTATGACAGTAGAGCTTAGCAACAAAGGGCAGGCTCCATTCCTCCCACCCCAGAGGAGCTCCTATATTGTTATCTTGTGTTCCAAGATCAAGGAGTAAATCCACCAGTTAGTAGCTACAGAGGACCTGCACAGACATGTAGACTACCTATTTGTAAGGTACCAGGTAGAGTTTGCCAGATATTGCACGGGTCTTAATGCAACATGCGAAGGGAATACGCTGGTCTGTGCAGTATGTGCCTTACTACGCTGCAAAACCTGACTTTATATAAAATAGATCTGTTAAGCAAATTATATTTGCTTCTATCAGAAATATATTAGGTGCCCTAGAGAAAAAACAGAGAAATGCAGTTCCAGGGGCTCACCAGGTGTTGCAGTCACTAGTCACTGTCTCTCCCTTGGCATATTCTCTTCCGTTGTGAAAGCACGGGCATCTCTCAAGAGCAACACACTTGTTTTCATGTCGCACCTAAGCAAAACACACAGTTTGTCAGCATGTGGGTCTGTTGGTATGTGCCTGTATGCAGAGGAGCAAGTACAAGAACATGTGGAGAAAGAGGAAAGGAAAGGATAGAGGAAACAGTTCAAGACTATCTGAGATAAGAAAGGTACAGCATTGCTAATATTTTTTCCCCATTAACACAAATAAAGCTATGGGTACACAAATCACAGTCTTGCTTCAGGGGCTGAACATCAGCTTAAACTGCTGGGATTATAGATTAGATTATCGACGAAAGTCATGATGAGAAGGTCCAATTTGACCAAAACCAGCATATGGTGAAGATAAAATAGGCTAAATTGAATATGGAGAGCAGGTAAATAGCACATGCCTCTTGCACACAAGCTGAAGGATGACCTACCAGAAAAGCAGCCAGATGCAGAGCTCAGCTGGGTTAAAAAACTGAAATATGAACACCGAGGAGGAGTCAAGGAGCCACAGTGCCAGAAGAACCCAAGCGCAAATGCAGATTCTGTTGTCACGGATAACAGTCCCCCAAAGCCCACCCTCCTGTCAACTCGCCTCTGAAAATTGCGGTAGTCACTCATTTTCTTTCAAATCCCTATTTATTTCCTAGAAGGCAGGATAGATCTCAGTCCACTTGAGACATTATTCCACTCTCAGAGTCTGTTGCTGGGAAATAGGTCATTATGTTCTGTTTACAATTTTTTCTTTTTCAGTTTTACCCTACTGATCTTAGTTTCTCTTTGTATAAGAACAAACCATTTGTCCCACTTAAACAAACAAACAAAAAAAAACAACAACAAAAAAAAAACAAGTAATGCCTTCAGACTATTCAGGTTTTTCCGTTCCTTTCCTCTGTTTTTTCTATGATTACTCCCACTCCCTTTTGAAGACAGCCAGTTTTAGAGAATCAAACAAAACCAAGGCTGGCTATGCTGTTTTTCACTTGGTCATGGTTCTGCAAAGCCAGGGGTAGGTTTGGGTCTTGCTTCATGGAATACTGAAATGGAGAGTGCTTCACCTCCCTCTCATTCAAAAGTCACAAAATATCACCTTCCCACTTTAAATTCTTCCTGTAAAACCATTAAAATAGTTCCTTTTTTACCATTAAATATGGGCCAATGAGATCAATGTAGTCTGAACGCCAGGTTAATAAAGTAGAACAGCTCTGTCTTTTCCTATGGGGACCTAGAACTGCCACAGGGAACTACTAATAAAAAAGATTTCACAGCCCGGAGACCCTTCATTCATCTGCAGCTCCACATGCTCTGTGGCTTATGGAGAGCTATATTATGCCAAATAAACTCAAGTCGATAGAAGCAAGATGGAAACAAAGAAATGCTTTTCTAGATGATAGAGCTGGGGCTCTGCCTCAGACTTAATCTCCACAAAGGACAGGGATAAAACAGGCCAGAGAAGACCATATGTTTCCAAGGGTGTTTAATTCCTTCCTTCCTTCCTGGTGGCATTCAGGAAAAAAAAAAAAAAAGCAATATACGACTTCGCACTCATGGCTACGTTTCTGAATTTTTCCACAGTGTTCAGCAACGCAGTTCACAACAGACTTGAAGGCTAGCCTCTGGAAACAAAATTTGGGATTAAAGGTGTGGTTAGTAAAAGGAGGATTAAGACCTCTTCTATTTGCTCCCTCACACATTGACATGAAGCTAGTCCCAGATTATCCACCACTCTAAAAACTTAATAGACTGGCATTGGTTCTTCCATCAAAGACATAAGGTCACCTCGAAACTACAGTGCAGCAACTGCTAATCCACTGACAAAGAGGGAAGACTACTCTGTCTGAACACTGCAGAGTGGGTGGGTGGGATTTAGAAAGCTGGACATAAATGTCCAAAGCGGACTTTGACCAGAAGACTAATTATTTTTGCTGCAAAACTCAATCGACTGGTCATATTGACACCATATCCAAAAGCTGGTATATCTGGCAGCCCGGTGCTGCGTTACAAGTCTGTTGAGGCAAGTACCAGTGGCATTATTCACAAACAGCTGGACTTGCTGTGGAAGTCTCTCAATCCATCAATAGATAGCATTTCATACAGGAGATCTAACGGTCCTGAGTGCCTGGGGTGATGGGAGGCATGAGTGTCGAGGAGGCAACCACAAGAAAAGGCCTAGGTTTCTAATGAGAACAGCTGCTGTTTGCATCATCTCACATTCTTATGATAATGCTCCTGAGAGCGCGTCCATGGGATTATAAATGGTTGACTAGCTGAAGATCCCCCCCCATCCCTACTTGGGGATCTGACAGAAATGTCCATCGTTTCCTTGCTCTGTCTTATTAATTGTTAAGCCTTGACAAATCCTGCAAAAGGAAGGACAATATTACAAATTTCAGAACCTTTAGAATTCTTCTCCCCTAAACTCTGCCTTGATGAGGCTGAATTTTAATCTCTTTGTCAACACAATTTTGATGAGTATCGTACTGTCAAGGGAAGCTCAAATTTTCACTCTGTTCCTCTCGATACACCTGAGAGCTTCAGCAGCAAGCCAGCCAAAGTTATAAAGGAGTATGGGATTAAGTAAAGGAAGTGGGTCAGATTAGAACCCAATAGCTGATAGGTTTTAACTAAAACAGCCTGTCACTGTTTCTCCGCAAACAAAAGTCAAAAAACATGTTACGACAGACCACTCAAAATGTGCTGGTTTACACTTGACTTTTCTTTCTTATGTTAGCTGTATGTTTCTTTTGTTTTATGAAGCAGTATCCTTGGGCAGATGCAGCTGGTACCCACCTCCTCGTGAACATGACTCAGTCATGTTATATAGGATAAGCCTACACTGAACAATATACAACAGAGCTAGCAGGAAAATCAAAATAGCACTCTATTAAGTTCCTATTGAAAACAGATTGGAAGAAAAAAAAAGTCTTTCAAACTTTTCTGATTAAAATATTTAGGGGTTTGGTGGTTTTTTTTTTTTTTTTTTCCTTTTTCTACTAACATATCATAGTTTTAGAAGTAGTTTTATTTCAGCAGCCAGAGTGCAATAGAATATTTTGTTTCAATTTGAAACCTTAATTTTGCTTCAGTTGTTGGAAATTGAAAGAAATCAATTTTCTAGTTTTGAAGTGCCTGGATCTTGTGCTTTCTGATTGTTCTGCTCCTTTTTTTCCCCAGAAAGGTGGTTAACACTCCAGTTGTATATTTATTAATATTTTCCATTGGGAAAAAACCTGGAGTGCAGTAAACTAATCTAAGAAAGCATATTTTTCCCCACACTTCTGCACATATGTTATGATTTATCTTTTCTGCTCTGCAAAAGGGTGACAAGTATGGAGAATTTCCCACCCTCCAGATGATCAAAGACTGAAAAAAGAATTACTTTTCATGACATATTGAACATTTTTATTTTCAAGAAATCAAAACAGTGTAAAATATTAAGTCAAGATGAACTGGAAAACTTATTTTTCAGTTGAAAGAAATTAGTTTTCATCTGCATTTTCTGACTCGGGAAATAATTAATTGATTGATTGGCAATTTCTCACCCCAGCAAATTTTCCAATTCAAATCTAGGCAACTGCAGCATCATGTTCATGAACAATCCTTGATTATTATTTTTTATTATTTTTCAGATAAGTAATTCAAAATTGGCAGGCAAGTTGTGCATACAGATTTTGAGACTATGGATTCCTCTGTTTAAGACTGATAACTCAGCTAACTGATCTGTAAGATCTCTTTATATATGTATGGATAACATTGCACTTAATAATACATTAACTGCTATAGATACTTGCAAATTGTACTGGCGAGTTCTTTATGTGAACCACATATCTTTGACTGTGTTTCCTGATGGTATGACCCATTTTAGAGAAAAAATTTTTGCTAATAAATTATCCATGATCATTCATAATTTTATATGCTACTGTACTGCAAAAGGAAAAAATCTTCAATAAAATGGCACAATTTCTTCCAGAGTGATGATATGTGCAATTATTTATTCCCAGAAATGTTGAGTAATCTGTTACTTCCCACAGACATCCTACAAAGAGTAGCTCACCTCCATGAGTGCTTGTAAATTAAGCAGGATTACAGAACACCAACAAGGGAGACTGATGGGTAAAAGAAATAGCAATACCTTTTTCCGGTCCCTTTATTGCTCAGTTCTGTTAGTGCAAGGCCTGGAAAACACAGACTTTGTAGCACTTTCCCTCAGTATGCCCAGAGTCTTTAAGGAAGAGAGAGGCAGGATGGAAAGGAGAACCTGGTCACCACCCTAAATCCTTCCGTATTTGGCAACTGATAGTGGGAGCACATCGTAGATTGCAGAAATAAGGAAAAAGCCTCCCCGAAACCATCCTGGTTAGGTACCTGTTGGTGACGGAGGAAACTGCCCTTTGATAAGAAGCTGGCAGGGCCGATGGAGCCACACACCAGGAGTTTAAAGCATGGCAAAGGGCACCCACATAATGCAAGCACCGAGCTTGATCCTGCCTTTGCATGGCCGTGCTTACAACAAAATCATCTATATATTGGGAAGCCGATGAGAACGAGCAATTACAGACGGAGTTTGCTGGAAGATTGAACCATACTGTCATCTAGTGGACACAGAACTCATTTTACTAGTTTTTTTAACAATAAATAAATAAATAAATACTGGGCCTGCTGCTTCTATCCCAAACCTGACAAACCATGGTGTTGAATTCAGGGGCACGTTTCACGTCACTGCAGAATCAACTGGAGTTTCCAATTCCAAAACGCCAAAGACTGCTTTTCCTGGCAAGAATTTGATGAAACAATTGTCTGAATGATAGCTCCAGCCTACTGAAAAGGAATACAAAATTCTATACTAAACATGAAGGTTAATTACTAGGAAGTTGATTTGGGGGAGTTTTGGGGGGGTCCGTTCTCCCTTTTTTTTTTTTCCCCTGTTGAGTAGTTACCATAATTTTTTTCCATGATTATCTCTAAAGTGTACAGTTACCACATCCTGGAACTGAAACCAAATCTCAAACCCTTTCACCAAATCAAAGAGGTCTGATTGTTATGTACAGAGAAAGACCTATTCACACTGCAGTTCTTGGAACTTTACAAGTACATGAACTTTTATAAGTTTACTTACACGCTACTATTTAGGAATATTTTCTCTAAAAGAAAAGACATTTAAAAACTGAAGTGTGAAAAGAAGGAATGCTTGTTTTTAAAAGTGGTAATGAAAATTTGCTCAATGTTGATCTGGACACCTTCAAATTCTGTTCTGTGCTTTTCGCTTTCTACCTACAAGACAATTCACAAGCCTGAGTTTTTGCCTACAGCTGGCATTTTATTTTGAAGTAGCATCTATTTACACAAATGTGTGTTTTTCAGGAAAATACAGTAGCAACGTTGAAAAAATACACTAATATTAATGCTAGAAATTACTGTATTATGAGAATGGGGGGGGGGCAGCTGTTTCTAGTAAGACAATGGAAGGAATTTGGGAGGAGAACACACCTATATTCATAAAGAAGAGAAAAAAAACAACATACCTTCACAAAAAATACATGGTTCCTAGTCAAGTTAATTGCTTTTTTAAATGGAATTTAAACTAGCGGTTAAAGTAAATTCATTAGAGCTGAAGCCTAAATATAAACATGCATCTCAACCCTAGAAGTAATAACAAACACCTTCATTTGATAACAGTCAACGTCCAGTGCGTACTAATCCGAGCTTGAACCTTGAGCAGGTATAAAACAAAAAAAAAGAATTTTGCATTTCTAGACTTCCTGGGCTGCAGCATTTGAAAATATCTTGCTTTACCATATGACTGAGTCAGAAAACTGTACCAGCACATCTGTGAGTATCACAGGTATCAAATAAAGTCTCACAGTTCTACAATATTTTAGCCCTGAAACAAAATAAAGACATAATCTCAACTCTCTTTATCCAACATCTAGTAGGTTCACCTGCATTTCATGCATTGAACATCACAAACTTCTTAATCCCAGCAGTTTTCCTGGACAGAGAACTCAAAAGAGCCATTTACTTAACTTCATAATGAGTGTACCGTGCACCTTATTCACATGACGCCTGGGACGATACCCCCCAGCCCCCAAGAGATCCTGTGCACAACTCTTCACCTGCCCAGAGAGCATTGCACAGCACTGAACACTGACACTTTTTTTTTCTATAGCTCAGGGAACAA